CTTATCCAGAGCTGAACAGAAATAAACCTAAATATTTGGGTCTTTATATGTCTAAAATTCAGCCACTCCATTTTATCCCATTTAACCCTAGATGTGGATATTTTTTAAATGATAGTCTTGTGCTGACTTTTAGACTTCAGTGACAGACAGGAGGCAGAAGGCTGCAGCAAACAGCTTAGGAACAAGCATAATGGCTTCAGCATGTGTTAAGGCAAGATCACAAGAACTGGATAAGGTTACTACAGCTGGCCAAGTCCTTGAGGTGTGCTGGCTGGGCTGTGGTGCAAATCTGCCTTGGTAAAAAGTGTAGAGTACCCTGCCCAAACCCTATCTAGGCAAAACTTTAGCACTGGTATTTATGCAAGAGTTAAGAGAATGACATTAAGAGCCAGAACTGGATTTAAAAAGTATTCTTAAATATCTGCACTTGAGGCTGTGGTGTTTTGGTTTTTTTTTAATGCATCATTGCTATGAAGAGTCAGTCCATGGCTATGCAGACAGGGAGAGGCACCATGAAATGGCCACAGAATCTGGGGATGGGTGGGGGGAACACCCCTGTGCCCACACCTGGGCAGGAAGGCAGAAGGCCCCTATGTCATTTAGTGTGGGAGCAGAGAGGCAGCCTGGTGCAGCCCCACACCACTTGTGCCATGTGCTTTGGACGTGGATTGTCCACCAATAGGCAGCCTCTCTGAGCTGCCACATGATAGTAGGTCTTCCAGGCTATGCTTGAAACTTCCCAAGACTGGGATAGCATAAACTCCTCACTGAGACTGTAATAGCTTGGACAAGATGCTGTCAGAGCAGTATATTGGCAATGCCAAGATCCAGGCTTTTTGCCTGGAGCCCATGGGAAACTGCCCTGTGCTCGTTGTGTCCATGGGTTTTGTTGGCCATATAGCTGTCTTGCATCCTTATGGGCTGTGGGGCTACAATCACAGAATCTATGTGAAGGAACCTATCAGGAATGAGCTGTGGCTTGTCATGCATGTGCTGTGCAAAGCAGATCTATCTTTTCAAGTTGGGCCCAAAGTTGTGCATTGGAAATGTCCCATCCTACATTGCCGTGTGGATGGACCAAGCTGACTTTGCTCTAAATTAAATTTCATGGACAAGACTGTACATACTGAAGATTTTACTTCATCATCCTCACAAAACAGAACACTTGAGGAACAAAACAGATACAAGTTGTGAATTCAAACATTCTGACAGCATGAGCAAAATGACCATTCCCTCAGGACAGTGTCAGCAGAGCAGCGTGATGCTTGGCTCCCTCATGGGCTTGCTTACCTCATGGCCATATATGCCACATGGTCTTGTGTTTCCTGCACCCCTTTTCTCTTCTATAGGGTTCCCAGGACAGACACGGTGAGATTGGAAAGGCATAACCCCTCCAGGTGAACTGGGCATGCAGGCAGCCCTCCTGCCCAAAAGGAGCTGCAAGGTGTTTGGGGCTCACATGCCCAGCTATCCTGGGCTGTCCCTGCCCATTGGCAACTGACACAGGGTGACTCAGGGAAGGTCTTGTGCTGATGGTCTAGCAGGCACCAAGGCACTGAGATAGCGTATAATTTTGGGAAGCCAGAAAATATGCTTCTTCTACTGCTACAAGGGCAAGGATGGAGTCATAAGCAGTGAAAGAGGCATCAAGCGGTCCTGTCGGGCTTGTAAGGGTGCAATGGTGCTCACATTAACTCCTTGTCATGGAGATCTTCACAATATGTAACTCAAGGTCTCTCTAGGTTTGATTAGAAACAGACACCCCAAACTTTGCACTGAAACTTTGAGGCCATCTCCAGTTACAGGAAGTCTGGGCATATCCATATGCAGATGTATGCAATTTGTTTCACTTCAGCAGTTAGCGTGACTGTTTTGAGGTCAGAGATCCTGTTTCTAGGGAATGAGAGTTACTTCTTGGGATGCTCAGCCGAGGATGGATGCACGCCATCCCCTCCCTACGCTGCTGTCCTGCCCTCCATCCCACAGTTGCTGCTCCTCTCAGGGAGTCAGCTCATCCCTGCCAGGGCCCTGAGGGGCTAGAGGTGAAGAAGCCCATGTCTGCTGCAGTGCAGGATCATGACAGCAGCATGGCTGAGCTGGCAAGGAGGGCTCTGGACTGGCAGCAGGCAGGCAGGGGAATACCCACTGAGTGCACAACAGGGACAGTTGCTTGCTCCTTGGGGCTGATGGTTTGTGATGGAAGTAATTATCGCTGCTGAAAGTCCAACGCCCAGCTCCCAGATGCAGTTTGGGCTATGCAGTCAATGAAATTTGAACAAAGAGCTTTTCTGTGTGTATATGTTTCTGCAGACCCTTTCCCAGCTAGCTGAGCTGCTCAAGCAGATAAGAAACAGCAGAGGAGTTCCCAAGGAAAGGCCTCAGGTGTTATGTTTGCTGCTGCTGCAGTTGCAGGCGCCTGGGAGTTAGGGAGGCAGCCAGCACAAAGCCGTGGGGAAAATGTACTGGGCTTCCTGGCATCATAAATAATAAAAGAAAGAAAGACAAGAGAAAAAAAAATTCCTGGAATACTTTCATATATTTATTACTCTGTCTCTACTGACTCTCATAGGTGGTAGTCTGTTGCTGCAGACTTTCTGGAACTGTTTTATTTTCAGCTGTGAAATTTATAAATATCATGTCCATATCATATGATTTACCTAGGCTGTGGGGCAGGGCCTCTTTTGGACAGGCCTGCCCACCTGCATCCCCCAGGAGCAGTGGAAGAGGTCAGCTGGTCAGAGAGGGAGGTGCAAAGAGGAGGCAGTGTGTCAGTCCCTGGCCTAGATGTTGGTCCTGGCACCCAGGGAGTATAAATACTGGCAAAATGTTCCTAAGGATCAAAGCAAAGACTGCTGAGACAGACAACATCAGACTTTGGAAAGCTTTACAGGGACGTCCTCAAAAGCCTGAGCAAACAGTATCAGAGAAAGCAGTAAATCCGAAATCACAGCAGGGAGGTAGTCGCAGATAGCTCCTGCAACTGTTACCTTTACCCAAGGTCTGCTTCCAATCCCTCTGTACCAACTGGGCAATTTTCTTCTCAAAACCCTTTCATAGCTCATCCTACCAGACTTACTTAAATTTGGGCCTTCCTTGCCCTTGTGCCCAAGGATGACAGCTACATTTCATCCTGGTTTCATCCCAATCACTTCATTGCAGTCTTTCAGCTGCAAGAGTGAGAAATGGGTGAGGACATGCACACCTTCTCACAAGCTCATTCATGGGCTTTTGGCTGTGGAGACATGACAGCTGTTCACAGAAGGGCTAAACTCTAAATATACAGTGAATTAGTGGAAAGATGTAACAAGAGATAAGTGCTGGAAAAAATAGAAATTGCCAGAGACACAGGCTAAGATGCCTGAGCTGGCATTAATGACCCTGGATATGACACTGCTGAGGAAAAGCTCCCAGTGGGGACACCACTAGATGGTGGAGCTGTTTCCTAGAAAGACTGATCCTGGACTGATAGCATTTAAAAATAGGCTAATGTGAAACCTAAAAAAAAAGATCATCCAGTTGATGTACTCTTTGCTTGGTAAGGAGAGCATGAATAGGAAGTACCACTGTGCCACTTCCCAGACATTTAGGAACTGAGAACAGTGGCTCAAGGTTAAAATCTGCAGTAGGCCTACCATGTTTTTTGTCCAAAGATCCCAGTCAGAAATGTGGCCAGGTGTGACATGGAGCTGTGCAGCATATGCAGGTGGGCTGTTGTTCACACAGATCCCTCTTTTTCTGGTCTGGGGATGCCCCACAATGCAGAGCAGTGGCATCAGACAAGGGAGAACCGTGGTCACTTGCCAGGACCTACCAGGGTCCTGCTGGCGTAGCATCACTCTTGCCAATGCAGGGGTCACCACTTCCGCTGGAGGCGGGCAGGAGAGGATGCTCCATCACAGCACATGGGCCTGAGGTGCCCCATTATAGAAGCTCAAAGGTGGTTTTACTGGTAGCTGCTACGCCTTAGAGAGGAACCAGCTTACTGGTTGAGTGGTTGAAATGTCCTCCTCCTGTATCACCATACTGCTGTCATACCTTATGTCCCATTAATTATTAATTGTTGAGGGTAGTCAGGCAGGAGCATCTTCCCAGGCTGCTGTCAGACTCCCCTCATTTCCCTCTGCCCCGCACGCAGGCTGGGCTGTTTCTGTAGGTGTCTCATGACGTCCTTTTCTGTGGCACTAAGCCCCATTTATAGCCTTCTTGCCAAAAGCAGTGCAAGTCCTCTCAGAAGGCTGTGAGGTGACTGTGGGGTATCAGTCAGGAGCACTTCTGCTGACACACCACCACTGCCAGGGGATGCAGGAGAAGAAAGCAGACATAACCAAGCACCATGCATGGCTGTTGGGTACTGGTTTTCTACTGTGTGCTATTCAGTAGGGGAGCATCAACGGGCTGGTGACAGGAGACCTACTTGATGCGGGGAGCAGATGGGTTCCTCTATCCTCAGAGACCTTTCCTGTGGCCAGGACCAAGGAATGTAGTGCTCCGCGGGGTTCAGTCCCAATATGGGTGTTGGAGAAGGGTCTGATTAGGTTGTGTGCACATGAGTGCACAGGGCTTATCCTTCCACCTGGCTCTTGGAGAGGGAGGAGTAGCTGGCAGAGCTTGCCCCAACTTCCTCTTCCCCACCTGTGCTGGCCTCTGTGGCCTGTGATCAACCTTCCTGCCATAACAGCCACCTCCTCCCTTGGTTACAGCCTGTGCCACCCCAAAGCTGAGCTCCAATACCTTCCGAGGCCAAGGCTGGCAGCTTTCCTGCACCCATGGCAGCCCTCTACCTTGTCTCACCTCCCTCCTCTCTCTCTCTGCCCAGGGTTGGTGCCAACCTCTCTGCGCATCTTTGGGAACTGCTGCCCCCCTGCCAGGGTGCTAGCTTTAACTGGTTGAACCAACTAATTGGTGAAAATATTTACATCTGTTTCCTTTTGTCTCTCCCCACCCCCTGCCTCTGCTGAAACCTGCCTTCCTCTCCCCTCCCTGCTCACCCACCCAAATAGGTAAAGACAGTGCTTTGGGAGAGGCCGACTTGCAGCCGAGCTCTGACCCTTCGGGAATGGACAGCAGCTACCTCAGCGTGAAGGAGGCTGGGGTGAAAGTGCCCCAGGACAGGGCCAGCACAGACCTCCCCAGCCCCATGGACAAGGCCGACTCGGAGAGCAACAAGGGCAAAAAGCGGAGGAACCGCACCACCTTCACTAGTTACCAGCTGGAGGAGCTGGAGAAGGTCTTCCAGAAAACCCACTATCCTGATGTCTATGCCAGGGAGCAGCTAGCCATGAGGACAGACCTCACCGAGGCTCGTGTACAGGTATGGGGGAATGGCCTGGGGCTGGGTGAGGGGTGGGTGAGATGCAAACAAGCCCCTGAGGTCCCCTACAGCCACACCATAAACTGCAGGCAGCTGAGCCCTACCCAGAGCCTGTGCCACAAGCTAGCATGCCTCTCCAGCAGGGACAGGCCAGGAAGGTACATCCACATCTGACACTAGTGTCAGCTCCCTTATTTGGTCTGGTGTTCTGTGCTTCAGTGTTCACAGAGATGCCTCTTGCCCTTGAGCTAATGGGACAGCAGGCAGATAAACCTCATGGCCACCCACAACAAAGCTTTTACAAAAACCACTTTTTTCAGGAGTCTCACAGGAGACACAGGTTCATTAGTCTGAGTGGGAGCAAGCTTTTCCATGCGATAGGCTCTTTCTGGCAAGGTGGGAATGCAGAGGTGGCCATAGCAGAGAGCATGAGGTGATACAGGAGAGGCAGCTTTTATTGCCTGCTTGGTTAAGTAGGTGCTGAGGATGCATGAGAGCTGGAGACCCGGAGACAAAAGGTGCACCCACAACCTTGGGAGGAGCAGGAGAGTGAAACAGCTACACTGTTGACAGACTTCCAACCACCTCCACCCACACAGGTGCCAGCTCCTATGAACTAGCTCCCCCAAACTAAACTGAGGGTCCAGCAGAGCCAAAATCCACATCAAAGGAGTTTAACAGAAGGCCTGGAAGGGCTCAGAAGCATGTGCAAAAAGGAGCATCATTGCATGGAGCAGACATCCGCAACTAATGCCTTGGTGGTCAGCTCTTTCTCCAGCCTAGCTAATCATGTAACTTCCATCTGCAGGCATTTGTCAGCTCACCATCCCCAGAACTTGCATTAACATCAAGAATGTTGGTTAAGGCATGGTGCTGAAAATCACAAGATCACGGGTTTCATTGCCGTATAGGCCATTCACTTAAGCATTGGACTCACTGATCCTTGTGGGTCCCTTCCAACTTGGAATATTGTGTGATTCTGTGATTTACCTGAATAGCTGGCCTGTGGAGACACCTGATTGTATGTCTTACACCAGGCAGACTCCTAGCTCCCAGGCAGCCCGGCTTCCCTCTGCTTTAACCTTTACAAATAGTTGTTGCAGACAGTCGAAGCAGTCAAGCCAGCATCCATGCTTAAGTCCATTTTAGTCTGTACTTTCACTTCCAGATTCAATTGGAAGCAGGATTTTTCTTGTCTGCTTCCTAAGTTGGTTTGCAGGGCTGGTATACTCTTCTTCCCCACAGCTGTTTCTCTTCAGGCTGGACACGGCTGCATTTCAGTAGGAAGCAGCATGATTCCCATTGGTCCCGAGTGTAGCATGCTGAGCACTGCAGGATGGGCAGAGGAAGGCAGTGCTACAAACATCAGCTCTTTACTTCTGTCACTGGATGAAGCCCTTGATTTCCCAGGAACACATCACAAGTGCCGATGGGGTCTCCTGGGAGGCCAGGCACAGCATCTGGTTACATGCTGCACAGCGCATGAAATTCCTTTTGCTCAGGAATGAGAATGAGGTGCTGGAGGGTGGCAAGCTCCTCCTGCTTGCATCTGAGCCAGGGTGTGTAGCTAGCGTGTCATCCTAGCCAGCACGCAGGACTGCTAACAGCCAGGGCAGGGGAGGCAGATGCAATCTGCAAGTTCCTTACATCTGACCTATGATCATGGGGGGTTTCCCCCACTGGATAACACTAAAGCTGAGGGCAGAAGCACCTCACCAGGCAGCCAGGAGGATATCTGGCAGAAGGGGATATCACCTTGTCCTGAGATAAGTGCCCCAGCAGCCTGTTGCCATGGCTGCCAGCGCACACCCCTCACTTGGGGTGGCAATGACAGGGCTCGTGTAACGGAGCAGCTGAAGGACTTGTCCAAGTGGGCAGGCACTCGATCACTTACCCAGAGTTGAAAGGTGTCAGCACTTGCATTTCAGTCATTCCCCTGCTCTGAAAGGAAGGGCCCAGTCCCCTGGGCTATGGGCTGGCACCCAGCCACCACCTCATGATGAAGGGCTGCCATGCTGTCGGTAGAAATGCAAACTGCCTGTCTGCAGGCCTGTGGGTGCTGGCTGGGCAGACTCAGGGCACCCTATGTGCTGGGTATCTCACATGTGTTCCCAGGGGGCTGGGGCTAGTGAACTGCTTAGCTTCATCGTGGCAGTGGCAGCCCTTCAGGAGGCATGGAGGTGCAACTGGAGATGGCATAGGGTTCTTCTGCTGATGGCACAGGGCTGCACTTCCCATGAAGGAAGCTTTTGGAGTTAGAGCCTTAGTGAATCATGCCAGTGCCTGTCTCCAGCTCTGGGTCGTGTTATAGCTTGTTTAAGTTTGACTTTGGTCTCCCACTCCTCTGGGCAGCTCTGGGGGGGCCTTCCAATGCCAGCACTCTAACACTGAGGGCCATCAGCTTATAGCCAAAGAGTGGGTACAGGCATGGGCCAACAGCTCAGGAGACTGATGGCAAAGTAAATGCCTACGGCAAGGATGAAGAACCAAGGGCTAGAGGGTTGGAAATCATAAATTAGCCGTGAGCCCCTTACTACTTTACCCCTGCAAGCCAAATAGCCACTGTGTACTCAGACACCCTCTGCCAAGCTGGCAGAGGCTCCAGCTGCTGTGGGGTATTGGGGTACACACTTATGGCAGCCCCGTGGGCTTTGAGGAAAGCTCAACAGTCCCTCTTCCAAGGAAGGTATGGTCATCTAAGGGATGCCAAATGTCCTGCAATAATTTCATGGAGGCCAGCTTCAGCTTCCTGCAAGGCTCAGCTGAGCAAAGGAGAATGGCAGGAAGGTGAGGCACCCAGCAGGTCTGAGGTGTGATGCTCCCTCCCAGAGCTGAGCCAGCTTTTGGCTGGAGGTCATCCCCTCTGGCTGAGCTCCCTGGGGAGCATGACCAGCCACATTGCAGGCAGGAGCAGATGTGAAGCCTAGACAGGCAAGTGGCAGCTCTGATTTTTCCAACCCTTTCCCAAGCTCACGCTTCATTAGTGAAATAGCTGCCAGAGTTCTCAGTGCCTGGAGAAGAGCCCATGCCAGCAGCATGCATGGGGTGGGCTGCACTGTCTGTGAAGTGGTGGCATTCCACAGCCTGGCCCCTCTCCTACTCCATTTCCCTGCCTGCCTCTGTTTCCAGCCATCCCTGGTGGTGTCCGACAATGTCAAAGCTAATTCCCCTTGTGATGCAGTGCAACATTTTCCCTTTCTGCCCCCCACAACCTGGCCCCTTGTTTCCATGTACTATTAAGATACTGCACATCCCTGTTTTCCAAAGTGCAAGCCATGTGTAAGCCCTGTGCAGGGGCAGAGCTACACAGCTGGGGACAGACTGCTGGGGCTCAGTCACAAGCCTGCATGGGCACACAGTGGGTGCTGAGTTCATGTAGGTCCTACACAATGTGTATATTCCATTCCCTTGTTCTCTTCCACATCTGGGGCTGCAGAGCTCCAGAAAGAGCTTCTGCTTGGTATTAGCAACTGCCTGATACAGCGACTGTCTGAGCTTCTTCCAGATCATCCAGGTCTGCAGCATATGTCTGAGGCAGTGGCATGAGAAAAACATGGTAGACACGTGTATTCACACGTGGCTCCTTCCCCTTGCATACGCTCACATACACATCCCAGGCCCTGCCAGCCTGACCCTGGCTGCTTATCTCTCTTGGCCTATGAGCATCTCTGCCTCCTGGACTGCTCTGTGGCAAAGGAGAAAGGGATGGGGCTGGAAGAAGTCTTTGCAACCAGGGAATATAACTATAACCCCTCAGCTAGCCCCCCTCAGAGCCAGCCCTAGGATTGCTGGGACCATTAATGAAATGTTTTTGGCGGTAACCCTGTGATGCGGCGGGGGCTTGAAAGTGAGAGGGAAATGTCAAACTCTGCTGTAGCAAAATCACTGCCTTGGAAAAAAAGAAAAGAAAAAAAGCAAAGCAAAGCAAGAAGTAATATATCTTGATCCCTTTTCCCCCATAAAACCCTGGGAGGCTCGTGGAAGGAGCGGAAAGACTGAGCTAAGCCTGCAGGAAATTAAACATGAAATGAAAACAAGCTCAAGTTATTCAATTCTCTCATCCCAGGCTCCAATTTCCCATTCCAGGCCACTGATAAAATGGTGTCCAGTTTCAGCACTCAAGGATGAATTCTGGCTCTGTTCTTGCAGTCTGGAAAGCAAAGGGCTGGTGGCCATCTCTGGGAAGAGGGGAGATGGCCTGGCCTTTCGCAGAGGGATGGGGTCCTGGACACAGACAATGGAGGCTGAGCAGAGGGAGGAGGGCAGTAAGGCTGGAGGACAGGAATGGGAAGAATGGATACTGCGAGGCTGCCAGGGGAGAGCAGGAACACAAGAGACTTGAACATGGTGGGCAGCTGTTGTCTGCACCAGGGCAGTGATGCAGTGAGGGTTGTCAACAGGGCATGAGCACAACCTCATGGCTGTCAGCAGTCCACCACCACATGTGTGCAGAGGTCAGCCTCACCTTCCACCGCTGCACTGGTGGGCATAGGAGACAGGGGAGAGCACCTTTTTCTTTTGCTTGGAGGAAGGACAAATGTAGTGATGCAGCCCCCAACTATCCAGACGTGGCCAGAGTAGCCTGGGTGAGATCTCAACTCAGCCCATCCACCTGTGCCCTGTGCAGGGCATGTGGGGATTGGTGGCAGGGGCAGACTGGCAGTGCCAGGGTAGAGGCAGCAAGACAGCAAGCAGGAGTCTCCTGCTTGCTTTCTTTGTCTTAGGCCATTCCTGGCCTCTTCTCCCCCAACAGCGCATCAGTGTGTGCATATGGATTAAGGTACCAGCATATGGCTGAATGTTTATGGAGACATGAAACATTTTTTGTTCTGTAGATTTTTATAGGGCTTATTTGGTACATCATGGCTTATCAAAGCATTGTCTGCAGGAGTCAGATACATGACATTACCCTACACTCCCACTCTAACTGTTAACACTGAGATTCAGCCCACAGTAACTGCTGGTCCCTGCACGAAGTACCCCATCCTAACCCTAGGGGACATGCTGCACCAGCCACTGCAACCTCCGCTGTTACATCCCCATCCCACAACAGTTTCTCTTGACAAAAAGTGACAGGCAATGAAAGGAAAATGGACTTCTGTCTGGGTTTAGATTTGCTTTTTAAAAGCAGGCATCTTCTAAGATTGTGGAAATACTGAGGATCAGTTGGAGTTTTTGCTGACATCTTCACATTGTCTTGCCTGTCTTGTTTTCCCTGGAGCACTGTGGAGGCCTGGAGAAACCCAACTGCAAAATACCAAGCAACCTATAAGTGTTTGGACCAGAGGAGAAAGGAGAACTTTGAAAAACAGTCCAAACCTTGCTACAAGTGTTTTGGACTCATGGCTTACTGCCAGCCTTCTGAGTGTCTCTGTTGCCCATGGCACTAACACTTGGACTGAAGTCACTCTTCTTTTTCAGCCTAATGCAATGATTTGCAACAGCCTCCCAGCCCACCAGACATGTGGGGATTGCAATTCAGGAACTGCCAGTTTAAACCATTTTGCTCTGCCAGAGCCAGTTCAATCCAATGCATAAATGTGGCAGAGCAAAGGCTGAGACCCCACTCTGCTTCAGCTGGCCCGAGGAAACCTCCCTGCGGTTCCATCAAGGCAGCTGCTGCGCTGTCCTGGGAAGCTGAGCACACAAACCCTGCACTGATGGCTTCAAAGGTCACACCGCAGAGCCATTCAGCACCGGGGGGGCCTGTGCTTGGCCATCCTGCTCCCAGGAGGAATGCCCAGGCGGGCTCCCCTGCATGGCAGTGCAGGTGTGTGGGCAAGGCTGCTGGTGCCTACACCAGGAACAGAAGGGCCGCATATGCCTGGCATATGTTCATTCCGGCCTCGCACACAGTCAGCACTCTGCTCCCTACCTGTTCCCCACCCCTCTGTGCACAGTGGGGCCTCCTCCGCCCGAGGAGGAACCAGGTCACCACTGCTAACTTTGAATCTGCAGATCAAAGCAGTGTGATCCTGGCCAGCCCTGAGACTGGCCTGCAGCTGGGCTGGAGTGGCTGTGCCAAGAAGAGGGAGAAGAAAAGCAGACAGATGCCTGGGGCATCAAACCTGCTCCAGTAGGACGCTCTGTGCTGCGTGTGCTCGGCTGGGATGATGTTAGGACCTTTCTGCTAGTGCTTTTTGAATCCGCTGAAAATACTCATAGGGTTTTTGATTTGAGGTGGGGGGATTAAGAGCAGCTGTTTTGGGTAAGGCTAGTCTGGGTAGCTTGTGGATGGCCCATGCCAGTGACATTGCCATGGCCGTGGAGCAGGGCAGTAAACCCTACACCATCTGAAGCCTGCATGGGAAGGACATGCCTGCGTGCTGCATCATCTGCTCACTGCACCAAGCAGACCATAGCACATGGCCAGACCCTCAGCTGCCCACTTGTACCATGGGGCCGACAGCTGGCCACAATGGGGAGCTATGAGAGACCAGCGGAGGGCTGCCTATGGTGGGAAGGGGGAAACTGAAGCAGCAGAGCCTGAAACAACTCTTCCAGCACAAGCAAGAAGGTCAGCCCAGATGAGAAACCCCAGCCCGTCGTGTTTCTCTCTCCCTGTAGCAGCTTCTAGTTGCACTGATGCAGGCTACAGGTGCCACTGCTGTCCTGCCCCGCCGAGAATTGGCTTGCCACCCCACCCTGTGCCAAGTGTCTGGCTTGTCCTTGTCTTCTCCTAAGACATGAGTTTCCTACCTGGTGTCTGCTTTCCCCAGCTGCTTGCCAAGCAGCAAAGCTGTCCCGTGGCCAGGCATGGGAAAGGCCCAACTGCTTGTTACCAATGCCCCTGCTACCCCCCAGCGAGTCACCGTGTAAAACTCGAAGCAGAGCCAAGAGGCTCTAGGACTGCTCTTTTCATGCACTGGCTTGACCTGCGCAACCCAGCCCCTGGTGATCGCCCTCATCTCTCAGTGCCTTCAAAGAGGCTCTTGATTGATGTGTTTCCCTGACTCACGAGCTTCAAGAGGCTTTGAAGACACTGGGCCAGGCTCTGATCTCTCTTGGGCTAATGCAAATCAGGAGCAATGGTGCTGACAACAGTGCAATAATCCACACTGATGTCAAGCCAGTAAAAATAAGAGCAGAAACAGAGTTTTAGTCTTTGCCTTGAAGGGATCTGAGCAGCACTGTGAAGTAGAGAGCTGCAAACTTTGCGAAGAAAACTCAGTGTAAAGCAAAGGACACTGTAGAAGGGCACTTGCCCTTTTCTGCAGCTAAGGAGGGAAGAGGTGTTAGGCTTTTTCTCTCTTATCACAGTTAAGAAAAATAACAGTTAGAGCTTGGTGAGAAATGCAAGCTTCAGCCAACGGCATTGTCATAGCCAGGATTAGGCCTGGGGAAAGCCCCATCACTGCTGGTTTCAGCCAGGCAGCAGCACACATGGGTGTATTCACACTTCTTGTCTGACTGGCTGACAGCAGGAGAGCTGTAGGCAGAGCCTGGGTAACAAAGATTTCAGGGTGAGAGGAAGATGGGCTATGCCAGGACAAATTAGGCTGTGGGAGGCAAGAGCTGTGAATGTTACCAGAGAGGCAGTACACCAAAAGATGGGCATCCCCTTTTGCCTTGGGTGTGCCCAGTCTAGCAGCAAAGGCTGGTCCCAGACCTCCAAGAGATGCAGGGCGGGACTGTCACTCTCCTGCAGAGCTTGTATGTGGAGGAGCACCCATCTCCATGCCATGCAAAACCACCCACCTGGGGAGGGCCTGCCCACTGGCAGGCTCCTCAGGGCTGCCAGGCTCCCAGCCACTGCCAGCAGCCACCCTTGGTCACAGCCCCCCTCTCCCTCTCTCCCAGGTGTGGTTTCAGAACCGAAGAGCAAAATGGCGCAAGAGGGAGCGGTTCGGTCAGATGCAGCAGGTCCGGACCCACTTCTCCACTGCCTATGAGCTGCCTCTGCTGACCCGTGCTGAGAACTATGCCCAGGTGAGTGCATTCCCCTGCCCGGGCCCATCTGTCCCAGTGCCTGCTGGACACACTGCCTCTGGTCCCAGTCCTCTCCAAGTCATCTTTCCCTTCTCGAGTTCATCCACCTGCCCCCAGGCAAGGTTGCAAGAATGCTGGTGCCAGAGCTATATGTGTTGTCAAGCACTGAAGGGCTGGGAGTTTTTTAGTTGAGTATCCTGCCTAGCTCTCTTATGCCCTCGCCGAGAGCAGCCATCTTTAAAGCAGGTACCAAGCCCAGCCCTGTGTGACATAGTGCAGCACCCTTTGGGCGCAGGTCACCCTGCTCAGCACATCTTATTACACTGTTCTTCTCCCATCACATGTGCTGCTGCCCACTAACTTCATTTGTTTGAAAAAGATCCAAAAGGCTAATTCATGCCTAAAGAACAGCAGTTCCCAGGAAGGTTTCCTGTTGCCATGTCTGGGTTTCCATGCCCCTTGGACATGGTGGTTGGACAAAAGTATTTTTCCCCGGCAAATTCTTACAGCCATCTCCCAGTGATGGGCTGTGGTACCTACAGCGCATTTGATGATATCTGAGGATGCTTCCCAATGGACTTGTAGGTTTATGCTCCAAAGGAAGTGGGGGGAGCAGCCTTGTTGGGGTACCTGAGGCTGCTTCTGGGTCCTGCTGAAACTCTTCCTGCCCTGACCCTGGCAGCAGATCACACAGCTTCCTTACCTCCTTAGCTTCCTGTCCTGGAAAACCTATCACCAAAGTAACCTCCTAAGCATTGGGCCAGCCCCCATTTCAGAATACTGCCTTGAGAGAATGCCAGACAGGTATTTGTTAGATCAAGGGCTAGGCTGTGCCTCTGCAAAGCACTCTCTCCATCCTGCACTCCTCTTCCCACCACCCAGAATTTGCTCGAGGGCAGATTTCTGCAGGTGGGATGTTCTGAACCTGACTGTCCTCACAGATGTGCTGGGAGTCCTCCCTCCCTGACTCCCTGGCTGTCAGGTACTTCTCCAGCCAGTGCTGTACCAGTGCTACCCCACAGCCAAGCCAGGAGCATTTGACCTCTCTCCTGCTTGGTGTCTCCCCCAAACTGAACAAGAAGCCCTTATGAAATAGCTGAGAGATGCCAAAGCAGCTTTTCAAGAAGGGGACACTCTCAGCAGCATTTTCAGCATGCCCTTCTCTTGTCTTTGTAACTTACACTCCCTCCACACTGCTCTCTTCTCCCAGCACTAGAGATCAAAAATTTGAAAAGCAATTTGCTGGAGGTAAGAGATCAGAGAGGGCCCAAGGGCCCATGGTGGAGAGGTGCAGTGGGATGAAGGGCCCTTTGCCATCTTGCTCCAGCCAGCTGCTCATCTCCTCCCCACTTTCATGCTGCATCCCCATGTCCCTCCCTGCCACAGCACACCTATTCCCACTGCCAAATACTGAGCCCCCTTTCTTCTTCTGCAATATCACTTCATGAGTGATACTGCAGGAGTCCAGATGGTCGCTCGAGGTGGCCCTGCAGGGCTCTGCTCTGCAGAAGGGTGGACAATGCTACGTTGATGGGCTGGGGAGAGGGGCCAGGAAACTGCCTGTGCTGGGGGCTGCAGGCAGCTCAGCCTGCAGCCCTCCCACAGGCATGTCTGTGTGGTACAAAATAGCTCTTACCTGGGCAAAGCTGCCCTGGGCTGGGGAAGGAGGGCTAGATCAGCAGCCTTGCAACACCCCTTTCTGCCTGTTCCCTGTGTGATGGGTATGACCACAGAAACACCATGGATGACATAAGGTTTTCTGTGCTGAGAAAAGTGCTCATGGTGCAAATAAAATAAGAGAAATGCCTGGGAGGGGAACAGGTAAACAGAGAGATGCTATGGCAGAGGCTATGGCACAGTCCTGCTCCCTTCAAGTTAGCCTCCTGCAGTCCCTGCCCCTGTCTAGGCTGGCATACAGGTTTTGAAGTGGATCTGCTGGCTCGCACTGGCTGCCCCTCGTGCACAGGGCTGCCCTGCAGGGCTGGGGCTGGACACGATCCATCCCCCCAGGCCAGCTGCTGGACACATCCTGCTCAGGGCAGCCCTGATGCTTTTTTTTCCACCCCCAGATCCAGAACCCCTCCTGGATTGGCAACAATGGAGCTGCCTCTCCTGTGCCTGCCTGTGTCGTCCCCTGTGAGACGGTGCCCTCCTGCATGTCCCCCCATGCCCACCCCCACGCGGCCAGTGGTGTCTCCGAGTTCCTCGGCGTCTCTGGCCCTGGCAGCCACGTGGGACAGACTCACATGGGTGGCCTCTTTGGCACGGCCGGGATGAGCCCCAGCCTCAATGGCTACGAGCTGAACAGCGAGCCGGACCGCAAGACCTCCAGCATCGCTGCCCTGAGGATGAAAGCAAAGGAGCACAGCGCCGCTATCTCCTGGGCGACATGACAGGGCTGCAGCCCAGTGCCCGTGACACGGAGAGAGCACATAGGGACAGCTGAACAAATCCATCCGCTTGGACTCCAGACAGCAGTTGCCTCCTCGGGGATCTGAATGCAGCACTTTTAGCTACCCTAGGCATATAAAGTACATATGTTAATGTAAGTGGAGTGTTTCCAGCATGAACATGGCAGCTCCTGGCTTCCTGGGATCAGGCAGGGAGAGGGAGGCTGTGGAGCAGCACTTCTTCCATCAAGATCTGGGATGAGATGCATCCCTCCTCACCACCACCTCCCCAGTAACCTGGGCATTTTTTCTCCCTGCTATTTTTTCTGACACCAGATCTGCCTTTCCAAAGAGCAAGAGCCCACTGGCTTTTCAGCAGCTTCTCCCATCCACCCACCCACCCACCCACCCACCCACGCACATACTCTCTCTCACACACACATTTTCTGCCCTGGGCAGGGGACTGGATGGGAACTCTGGCACCAGCAAAGAGACACTTCTCGTGCTGCTTATGTCCTTTTAGCGGGAGCTAAGACTTCCCACAGCTGAGCAGTAACATGGCTGGGAAGATAACTAAAGCTAAAAAGAAGGCAACACTAGCCCACCTTCTTCTACCCAGCTTTCTCTCCATCTTGTACTCTGAGATGAAGCCCACAAAGGGGATACCCTTCTACCCCACATGGCACAGTGCTATCATGCTGAGAGTCTTTGCCAGCCCTCTGGTGACCCAGACGAAGATGCATCCCAGCAGACAATGTCTTCCCAAGCATGGCTCACTGCCTCAGGGAGCGCCTGGGCTTTGCTTTGCCATGCTGTGGTTGATGATGGGGCTCGTGCATGGTGGGGCAGCAAAAGGTTTCCTCCAGCTTTCACTGGGTCAGCAATCACTAACCTCAATTTAGAGACAGCAGCTAAAGCAGGGAAGCACAGTTGCTGTGTAAATCTACAGGTCCCCAAAGAGACTGCTCTGAGAAACAGCTCAAGTGCTAGCACACAGCCACAGTGGCATGAGACCATCAGATTCCTCATATACCTTATCCTGGGGTCAGATACATGCAATGACAAGCCCTCCCTCAGCCCTCCACTCCAGTGCCTTGCTGCACACAACAGCTGCAGGCATCTCTGCACAAGGGATGGCACAGGGAACGGGCTGGGAAGGGATCCAAAGGTGGATGAGGTGATGCTGTCCAATCTCCAGCCACCTTGGACCCTCTTCACCTTTTAGAGGAAGGAGACACTAGAACTTGCCTGGTTTGTATGAGCCAATGTGCCTCCCCATTTTTCCCTCCCGGTGCTCTTACCTATACAGCATTTTAAGTAAGATCTCCTTTGCAAGGCTAAACATTTTACAAGTTTTTCAATGATCTCATAGTGCTAGGAATAATTTTGGAACATCCTTTTACCCCACTGAAATACTACCAAGGAGAAGCTGAAAGTCAGCTGAGCACTATCACTGCCACGAGTGTGGCTACACAGGCTGGGCTTGAACTGGGGCAGCTGTCCTCAAGATTTGCAAGGGAACTATGGGATATTACTCACATAAAAATTGGTTTGTCACTCTGCCCTGTCTCCTCATGCATAGTGTTAGGGGATCTTGTAGTTCGAGGTCCAGGAATATCCAGTGGTCTTGGAAAAGGCTTCAAATAAGCTACAACCAAATGTCAGGTTTCAGGTTAACAAGCTATACAAGTATTTCCATAGTGTCTAGACTGTCATACTACCTAAATGATACACCATTGCTAGGTCAAAAGTAATATTTATTGGAATATGAAAAGATCGGTAGTACTGTTTCTTTTCTCAGAAATGCTAAGAGATGCCTTCCCTGGTACACACAGGGAGCCAGCATGCATTTAACCACACCATCTGTATGACCAGGGTCTCTCCCATCCCAGGCAGCCAGGATTGACATCCTAACCTAAACATTCAGCTGAGACATCGGGCTATGGTGGGTTAAATGCTAGAAGTGATGCTGATCACTGAACAGTCATGCTGACCAGTTGGAAGTGTACACCACCCCCAGTGGGTGCCTCAGAAGCCACTGAGGTTCCCAACCACCCAGGGACCAGTGGCAGGAGGCGAGTTCTCCATCAGATTTTGTGCAGGCAGCTAAGCATGGTGTTGAGAGCACTTTCTCAGGTACACCAAAGAGCATGATGCTTCCCACAGTCAGCAGGCAATCTGTGAAGGGCCACTGCCCAAACAGCCCAGTACCACTACTGACAAGGCAAATTAGCAACAGGGAGAGCTAAGGAGAGGGTGATGGGGCAGGCAGGCACACGGGAATGCGTCCCTCATGGCCTACAGGTACCAAAGGCAGCTCCAGTGGAGGGCTGTAGTTACTCAAGAACTTAGCTGCATTCCCTACTGAAGTTAAAGAGTAGCTTTTCCTCACAGACTTCCACAAGGCCAGGATTTTATCCAAGCTGTTTAATAGCCCAGAGGATTAAGTGCTGTATCCCTGTCTTGTTAGAGACTCCTGGCATCCGACTTGGCATTTAGAGAGGCTTGGCCCCCACTTTCTCTCACCTTAAAATTCATGTGGAAAGCACATGTTGGAATCACTCAGTCTAATTTAAATGCCACTGCACATGCCCAGCCCTCAGCCTGCCTGAAAGCATCATGAGGTGAGGGGGGATGTTGTTCCTTGGACGCCCCTACCACAGAGCTCCCTTCCTGCCCCCTGCCATGGGCAGCCCTGCTGCTCACCAGGCTCTGCCCCATGTCTCCGGGTGCTGCCACTATTCTGGCGAGCTCCCTTGTGGGTCGTGCTGGAAGGTGTGTCCCTCACAAATCTCCAAAAGCAGTTTATTCTGGCAGTTTTTAAGCTATGTACATCTGTATTTACACACATTTTAAAAATTTATTTCAAAGTTTTTTTAAAACTAGTTGTTAAATTAACGTGAAAAACTGTATAAATATATATATATACATACATACATATATATATGTGTGTGTATCTTAATCTAGCAGGTCTGCAGCTACTGCATTTCTTAAGGGTCACAGGGTCAGTGCTGTTCTTGCAATCTCAAGTTACCGTGATGATACCATTTTAATTGTTATTATTGTTATTTTAATACCTTTCAATTCTATTTATGACTTTCTTCTCTATTTATTTCTTATTTAGTATTTTACTCCTGCCCATACATTGATTTGCAATTCCCTGGTTTGGACTTGCCTTCAAAGCTGCAAGCTTTGTCCCCAGCCACCACCAAAATGTCTCACAAGCCCCAGCCGCTCTGACACCTGCCATGCTCATAGTGGCATCCTCTGTAGATGCAGCCCAACTAGCTGGACTCACCCATCTGCTCTCTCCAGCCTCATGACGGTAGCAAAACATTTCTCCCAAGCAGTCCTGGCCCTGTCTATGCAGCAGGTACCATACATGGGGGCTGGCTTATGTTGTCCATGGTTAGAAACTACCAGAGATGTCCCAGAGCTTTCAGACCAGGAGGATGGATGTAAATAGTGAGAGCAGCACGGGTTCCTGGCACTTGTTTAAAAGTGGTTGGGTACCACTCGCTGCCAAGTACTTGGAGGCACTTCTTGCCTACAAGCAGTAGTTAATGCTTTGGTAGCAATTGCAAACCAGTGGTGAACCAGGCTTGGGCTTGCTGGGTCCTGCAGGGTCCAGACTCTGAGGGCTGCTGTGCCTGAACAAGCTCATGGAGAGGAGTGAGACAGGGGCCAGGTAAGCCCTCCGGCATGTTGCCTGTTGCCAGCACTGCCACCCACCTGTGCTCCTAGTGGGCTCTCCAGCCAGCAGCCAGGCTCCAGCTGCCGCATCTTGAATATGCTACTCAGTTCAGGTCTCACTGCCCCAGTACCTACCTGGGTAGAGCTTATGGGGAAGAGTACCAAGACAGCAAGATGAAAAGAGAACCAACCTCGTTCTCCTCTAGAGCCCATGGCAGAGTGTGAGTTTGCATCCCTGCCAGAACACGCATCCCCGATGGAACACATCTGGCCTGAGCCATGAGCGTGGGCAGGGTGTTAGGGAAAGGCCATGTGTAGCGACAATGTGTCACACATGAGGTCGCAGAGCTGCAGCACACATGGCTCCACCTGCCCCATCAGCCACGGGCACACAGCACAGCCCAGGTGTGCTGCAGAGCAGTGCTGCCTGCTGGTTTGCTCCAGTAATGGAGGTGTTTTGGGGTGGGGAGGTGTGTTTCCCTGATTCCCAGAGCACACTCAGACTGGGCAGCACGTTGTAAAACACTTTCCAAACAAACAAAGGCAAAAAGGTAGTTTCCTGGAAAAGGATTGAAAAAATAATCAAGCAGAGGCAGAGCCCCGCGTTTATTTTGCTACTCTGACTGACACAGCAAAAAGCAAACAGACCGAGGGAGAAATTAAACCCAAATGGGAAGGGAGTGAAATCAGATGGAAAGTCATTCAGTCCTTTGCAGCTTCCCGAAGGGAGCTGGGAAGAGACGAGGGAGCGGCCTTGTACCCCCTTAACTCTTTGCTGGTAACACAGTTCCCCACTCCCCCCACATAGCTAGGTAGGTAGGTAGAGCTAGGACTTTTATACTACTGATTTTGAAGGACAGTTTTCAATGTATAATAATATATCGGTTTAGGTGTGCAGTGTTTGAAAGAGAGACTGGGAGAAAGAAAGAAAACAAACCTCAATCAATATTGTTGGTTTTTTGTTGTAAAATATTGTAACCTTGTATAAACGCAACCTTTTTTTTTTTTCCTCTTTAGCTTACCGGCCTGGGGTAGAACATACTAAAAAAATAAAAAAGTTTTTAAAAAGTTCAGGAAAAAAAAGAATTAAAATCATTAAAAATGTTGCCATGTGAGGTTTGTGCCATGCAATGTTACTGCCTATGCAACCATGTATTACCTGTTCATTACAGTGGAATATTAAAAAAGAACAAACAGTCTTGCAGCTTGATTATTTTTAACTTTTTTGAAATAAGTTATTGCACTTGCAGGTTTTTTTTTCTTTTGGGGGGGAGGGGGGTGGATGTGGAGGGCTGGAATTTCCAGTCACCAATTTTTATTTTTCTAGGTTTTGAAAGCAGTGACATCACTGGGAAGGACCCTGCTTCCCAGTCACCCTGGCCAAGGGGGAACAAACACTGTTGTTGTTGTTTTGGTTTGCAATAAACTCCTTCTCTTCTCTCCTCTCAACTGCAATCTGGCTGGTTTGTTCCTGACTCATGACAGATGAAATGTGATCAGAGGGGCCTCCAAAATCTCACGTTAATTGAAGTTGGCAAAAAATACTAACAGTGCCCTTTTGAACTGCTGACGCAGAGCAGAATGGATTAGCCGGGAGTAGATTAACAACAGGTGGCAGCTCACGGGCTGCTGCCTCTCCCGTACAAAGAGATGGTTAACAGCCAGCAACCAGGCGCAGGAGTGTCCTGCCAGCCAGCTCCCAGC